GGATAACTTCCCTCTAATGAATATTGTATGCTAATGAAACGCGTGTTCTTTTTTTTGGAAAATATATATACATATATATATATATATATATATATATATTCGATCCTGTAGCGCACTGTGTAGTTTTTCAGCGATTTCCTACGCAACGTTCCGTTCCCATAGAGCGATTAAATCTATGCACCGTTGCCGACCCTTCGTTAAACACGATCGCCCCTCGATGCGCATTGCTGCGGCGATCACCCCTCTGTTTTCACTAAATTCTTTTTTCCCCAGTTCCAATAAAAAATTCACTCCATTTCGGATAATATTTCGCGGTATAAAGAAGTGACCTTCCCTAGTTTTAGCGATAACAATTACCATTTTTATACATATCAATGCCACGAATATCATTGTATCGTAACGTTATGCTATTAATAAATTGTAATTCATATTACAGCAATTATAGTTGCAAATCATTATAATTAATAACTTCAATAACTACTGATTTACAATTCATTGAATTTTACTTTTTTTTTTATTTTAATAAGACTATTTAAATGTAGATAACATTGCTTAATGCGCAAGCATTACTTATCGATAAAAACTGAACTATCGTGAGAAAGAAGAAAATCGTTTGATTAGATCCATAGTGCCACTGTTAAAGGATTGACTAATAATTTGCTTGTAACTCGTTATTCAGTTGCGACCTCAGTTTTTCAAGTAAGCAGTCACAAGAAACGTGGCAACCTCGGTTGACGTACAGTGTCGTGCAAATGTATTACGTACCACCACGATACTAGACACAGGTGTAACTAGGGCGCGAAGCTGAACACCCATTTCGCGATATAGTTGCATGGTGTTATGAAAACAGGTGTAGGTATACTCGATTCCTACTCTCCAACGTCCAGTTTAGACACGGACAGGCCTGTTGTTGACACACCATCCCCGGTGAATCATTCCAAGGATAAAAGAGATTCAAACAAAAGAATAAGGAGAAAATAAAATCCATCCAAACATTACCCTCGGAATCTGTTATTGCAGAGCATTGTCGAGTAATCGACCCTTTATAAATAACGTGTCATATAACGAGGAACAATGGTATATGCAGAGGGTGAAGTATTATTCATCACTATTTGACTAAATCATGTAGCAAAAATGATGTCATCAGGTTAAAATGATAAACACATAGAACTGAACTCTTTGTACCTATTTTTTTTTTTAAATGTTTACTACCATTTGTCTCTCTTTGTCGATTAGACGAAGAACAGAATAAAAACGACTCGTTTAAAATACATTATCCTAATGTCCCTGAAAAATAACGTCGCCATTGTTCTCCAGAAAGATTTAGGATCCTTGAGTAATTAACGAAACTACGAATGTGTCACACTATTATCTGCATGAAAATCAAAACTGCAACGAGTTGGCAAAAGTGCAAACTACTGTCAGAGTCCGACATTCTTGTAATGGATATATCCTGACGACCACGCAGTCGTAATCCACACACGTAATAAAAGGAACAACGGTTGGGGAGTACAGGGAGAGGCAGCACGTTGCACAGTCATCACCGTTACACGAATGCGCATGCGCACATAGATCGTATATAATTTTTAACCATAAAATAGAAATTGGCAACTTCTATTTCTATTTCAATGAAAGAAATCTTTAAAATTATCTTATCTTAAAATTATCAACAATTTGAAAAATATAAAATATAACGTGAACACATACTTTTCTAGGAGATTTTATTTCGATGTATTCTAACCAATCATAAATAGAAATTAACAAGTTGCACCACGCCTTAAAAATTTTTTACTCGATTGAAAATCGAATCTTTTCTTTTTTGGTTTTTAATTAAATATTAGAAGATAATTTTCTAATTATTAAAAAGTTTCTTACTTTTCGTTATGAATAAATATATATTGACTTAACCTTTCGATGACTACATAATGAATTGTAATAGTAGAAATCTATATTATCGACTAACATCTAGATGCGCGGGAAGTTTGAATAAAAGAAGACCAAATTACATCACTCATCTATTCATCACAAGTTAACAAATGATACTTGTCGCATTAATAAATTACCAAATTATTAACATCACAAAAGATCGTTCCTATATATATATATATACAACTATTTACTGGAACCCTTTCTATATCATGCATACGACCACCATCACCACTATAATCGATGCTTCAACCCTTCGCGGGTACCATGATAAAATCGTCACGCTACTTTAATCAGGAACCCGCAGGAAGTTCTGTGTAAGTTCTCATCGAAACACGTGGGTATGAATATGTTGAGCTTCAGTGCACAAACGGACACTTGTCGCTTATGTGCAGGTTATATTATTTCTCTTCAAATGTTTCCGTGATTCACAATGTAATTTTTCCATACGACGTTATGATAATAAATATTTTTGAAAAAATTTATTAATTTCATCAATTCCTTAAAATAAATTAATTATCAATTCCTAAATAATATATAATTCCTAAATATTATATATATATATATAAAATAAAGTATAAAAAACATATCAATATATAATATAATTTTTCATCTATAAGATAAATATATCGTTAAAGAACACATGGACAGTATAAGATATGTATTGCGAAGTGATATAATTTTGCGATAATTTTTTAAGAAAAGAAAAAATTTTTTTAACAAATCATATAAAAAGAAAACTTCATAGTTAACGTAACACATGTATCAACAGATAAGAAACTATTCAAAATGGAGAAATATAAAGCAGTAAATACACCACGTGTCCAACCACGTGGTTGTTAGATTATTTCACTTGGCGGGAGGTAGATAGATGAACGTATTTTTTTCAAACTTCTTCATGTGTATCTAAAGAACGTTATAACCTATTAAAAGATTTTCTTACAAGAATTTAAATTATTAATTTATTACAACAAAAATTTATATTATAAGAAAGATATTATGAATTCTATATATATTAGAAAAAAAGCTATAAAAAAAATTATACAACATAATTTTGTAAGCTAGGTACAATCTTTGTTCAAGTATGTCTATATCTCAAAGATAACAACGAATCCCTGTTCGAGATAACTTGGTTCGACGACTAACGGTAAATGTGCACTTTGAATTCTTACACGATATATAAGGAATTCAAAGATTTTAATAAAAATAACTGCGAAATTAAAAATTATTGAAAAATAAAATTATTTTTAAAAGACATAAAAGAGTTCAAATCACGTATAAACAGTTAAAAAAAAAAATATTAAATCACCCACGAATTTAAAAATACGAAAATATATTCTACTTTTAAAAGCAGATCTTGTTACGAATTTTTATGATTTTTCGTACAACTTTCCACAAAAGTGATAAAAATACATGGAAACAAATTGTAAAGTTAAAAGTGGAACGATATACACGTTATAAATGTATCACAATTATATACAACGCACCTGTAATACGCTGAAATATGTGTATGTCACCATCTACTCCACTTTCATCCACAAACTTACTCAATCACAAGACCTTCTTTTATCGATTACAAACATTTTGCACAATCAAGCACCGTTTTCTTATTCCTTTCTATTTTTTTTATCCACCCCGATGTAGCACAAGTTACATAATTTTCCACTACAATATAGGAACGAAGAGATTAATTAACGAGCGCGTGGTGACACTGCCGACCGAAAGGCACGTTCTGACACGTGCTTCAACTCGAGGCTGTGGCACTGATCCGATCTCGCGCGTTTACAGAGACAAGTAAGGTATGTGTATACAACTCACCTGTTATGGTACGAGGTAAAGATCGCAATGTAAGTCGAAGGCTATATTAGCCAAATAAGAAAATACAATATAGACAGGGGAAAATCACGAAGAGGAAATGAACACGATCGACAGTAACAATGACGCTCCCTCATGAGGGAAGCAACTGCAGAGGCATACTGGGGAACAAGCGGCTCAATGAACACAACAAGGGGGAGGATGGTCGGCGGATGGACGAACGAACGAACGAACGACTCGACTCGAGTCGAGTCAGCCTCGACACCCCGGGGCGTATCGGCGCCTATGGGCAGCGCCATACCCGACCGCGACACACGTTCAAGAGAGAAAAAGATAGAGAGGGGGAAAAGAGCGAGAGAGACGAAATACACGAGGAAGACAGAGTGATTCCAAGAGACGAGGGAAGGAGGAGGGAGGGAAGATTTACGCAACCCTCTCTCGCCGAGCGAAAATCCACGTCGAGAGGCACGCTGTCGTCGATGTGTCGATAAGCCACGTAGTATCCTCCTCCTTATGCGTGCTTCATTTTTTTTTTCTATGTTTTTCCAAGAAACTGTGAAACTAACCTCTCTCTTTTTACCCCGAGAACATTTCCTTTTTCTGATACTCTTATTGGTTAACCCTTTCTACGTACACATACACGCACACATACACGCGCGCGCGCACGCACACAAACACACACACAAACACACACACATACAGGCACAATATCGCACTATGGCGTGCGCATACACACGCACAAAGAACGCACACATACACAATTATGAGCGTATAAACATACGAAGCACTGGCAAATATTCTTGATTCGAATTTACACCACACACAGCAGTAACTAGTATGACGATGATGACAACGAGGACGGCGATGACGACGGTGACGACGACGACAACGACGACGACAATAACAATGACGACGATCACACGACACGAATAGTGAAACTAAAGAAACGAGGGAAGAATAGAGCAAGAGAGCGAAAGGTGAAAGATAGGCGCACAAATAAAGAGGGAGAAAGCGTTGAGAAAGTATGAGAGAGAAAGAGGCGTCCTCTTCTCCGCACTAGTAATATTGATTCGTAGGGTAGGCACGATGGCAACGACCCTACCTGGTTTGACGAAACGAGCTCGAAGCGCACGGTACATTTTTCAGCTTATCGACACCGCCCGGTTTTTCCCGATGACACCCGAGTTCCGGAACAGCTCGATTCTATTTAATACACGGTACGTTGGAAAATTGACACTATTGGCACCACGTCGACTTACCTTGGCATCCTGGGATGCGGTTGATTCGACGACGGGGTGAGAGCCTCTCCACCGAGGACGTGCGACTTGGCCCGTGCAGCGCTAGGACGCCATGTCATCAAGTCGAGGCGCGGACTCGGGGCAAATCGCGCATATACACACCGATAGAGAGAGAGGCGCACGAACACCACGTAGCTGACCAACCCGGTGCCTGCCGTGCTGGGAATTCCTGCTGCGCCACCGAACGGCCGTCACGGAACCTCGCCTACGCCCGCCTAGCGCCACGACCGTGCTTTCCGTTCGTGGTACCCTTCACCGCTTTGCAACGCTCGCGACACCCGCCCGTTTGCGCGCCCTCGTTCAACCGAACCACCGAAGTCGAGCCGCGCACAACCTCCCGCAATCCTACCACCGCCACCTACCCAATAGTCCCCACTACACCCTTCACCCTCTCTTTATATCCCCCCCACCTTCTCACCCTCCTCGTCACGCACTCCTTCCTTCCCTCACTCCCCAACACCCTCTACTCCCTCGCGCCATCCTGCGCGTTTCGTCCTTCTCGTTTCTCCCTCTCTCGCACTCACACTTTTGTAGTTTCTCTTTCTCTCTATCTGTTTTCCTCTCTTATCGCTCTCGCTCTCTCTCTCTCTCTCTCTCTCT